CTCTGCTATGCAGACAGAGAAGCAGGCAGTTTTGTTTCTCTCTGGAAGAACAACAGAACCAAGTAACTTTAACTTGGCAGCTATATGCCATAGCAAGCATCAGTTTAGTCATGCTACATAGAAGTGTGATGTTGCAGGGGCCAAAGTATTCCAAGGAGAACTGATGGTCTTGAAAGAACTCTTACATCACACTCCTGCTACTCAGATTTTTATTTGGTATCGCTGGGACTGAACCCAAATAGGTAAGTGCTCTACCAATGAGCTACACCCTCCTCTCCTAAGAGTGCAATGTTTTATTTCAAACATGGAAAGTTTGTTAGGAAAGAAATTGTTTTCTTTTAAATCTAGCAGCACATTCTCAAAATTCAAACATGAAAAAATCTAGAGGTGTGTTGACAAGAATTTAAGTTCCCGAGTGTAATGGCTTTTTGAATGCTTTTATTTAACATATTCAAAACAAATTTTTAAATATTGGATTCGTTGCATTTGTATATGTAATCTATAAATATTTTTCTACTTCAATTCATATACTTTTAAGAAAAATTCTTACTCAAAATGTTATGATTACTTTTTATAGCATTCGATTAAGTAAATAAGTAGTTATCTTAGAACCACTGCCCCCCACCCATCCCAATGAGCACCTAGCACTATTGAATCAATATCTTTGTTTGTTTGTTTGAGAGATGGTCTCCTTGTAGCCCCAGCTGGCCTAGAACTTGCTATGTAGACCGGGCTGACCTGAATCTCACAGATCTGTCTGCCTCTGCCGCCCAAGAGCTAGGACTGAAGGAATCAATATCTTCAGTGAGCAGAATAAAAACTAAAAAGGAAAACCATTACAATTTCCAAGGAATTGATACAATCCATTTAGACGCATTCTGATTAAGTGTCTGCTCTGCCATCTATAGATACTAAGTCATCCAAATGACAATTACATTCTTGCAGGTAATCATTTTGTTACAAATACAGAGTTAGCACATTACAAAATTCTTATGCAATTTCAGTTGAAACATACTAGCAAAGAGATTAAGGCAGGGAAACAAAAAGCTGGTAAGAGGCAGTAAGTCCCCTGGTAAATCCTAGATGAACAAGTCTGTGCAAGACACACATCAGAAAGGCAAAAGTATTAGATAAGGTAGTGAAATGGTAATGAGTCTTTATTCTAGAGATTAAATACACCTACCAACATAAACCAGCAATGTTGTGTTTCCTAGAATACATCTGAAGTTAGAGCTAGCCTTGGTTGGCTATGTAGCTTTCCATTTAACAATCTGCTTAGTCATTGTTTAGAGTTCATCTAGTCCAAATACTGTCAGACATCTAATTCATGAAGAATTACAGAGAAACAAAAACTATATGATTTTCTCTTTCTATATATGCCTCTCTTACATAAAACAAAGATAATCTTTATTATTACTGATAATAGTATTTATAGCATGGATTTGTAATAATTTTACCCATCTATAAAACTAATTGTTATTAAAAAAAAAGTACTTGAGTTATTCCAGAAAGGATTTTTTTTTCCTTTTAATAAAAGAATCATGATTGTATTGTCTATGTTAAAAAGGAAAACTCAAATCCTCCTCGGTAAAGCCTATGGCCATTTGTCAACTGTGAAAGGAAAGCAGGCTTCCAAAGAAAGATCCTAAACCAGGAGAAAAGCCTGCAGTCGGGTTGTTTGTGGGCAATGGGCCAGGCACTCCGCACAGAGTCCTGTGCACAGAGCATGTCGACAGATGTTAGGAGCTGACTTCTGCTGAAGGAGTATGGGAGAACAGTTGGAAAATCACAAGATGCACAGCCAGCTTCCAATAAATAAATAGCTTTTATCTGGCAGCAGAAAGAGGAGAGGATAAGGTACTCCTTGGGTGGAAACCAATGGGGTACGTCCAGCAAAGTGAGGCACCAGTGCTCCCCGTGTGCAGACCCTGTGGAGAATGAAGAGAGGACCTCTTCCATTTGTCCTCGGAAGTTCCAGGGCCTCAGAACGACCCACGTCAGTTTGCTGTTTTAGGAAGCCTGTCCACTTTGTGAGTAGAAGAGGCTACTGATGGGGATGGGGTCTCTTCCCTCACCCCTCTGGTGCTGCTAGCTTGGGCACTGAGGCAGCATGTGGGGAAAGTGTCACCTGCCAACTTAGAGCTCCTGAGGCATTAACCTAAGCACAGTGGCATTTAACATTAGCATAGCCCAAAGAAGAACAAACAAACAAAGCGAGTGCTGGCCAAGCTCCAGTGGGTACAGCACTTCAACACTCAATGCATTCCTAAAAATCTAATTTTATATTAAAAGTCAAAATCAAAAAGAAAATAGATTGGTTAAAGCATCAATACTGACAAGAGATGGCTGGAGTCCTAGTTAGGGTTACACAATATGCAGGTCCATTTGTGCCTCCTAAGTGGGATGTAAATCACCAAAGACATAAAATCAAGTCACATTTCCTTCAAGCACCAAGATAAAAATCCTGTCACATTGTTGTTTCTTTTGAATAGAGATATTGCTTAGTGATATAGATAAGCGGACTAACAAAATCTAAAGCAGAAGAGGATGGAGGCAGAGTCCATAAGGACACACACACACACAATCACATCTACTGAGGTCTTTGTTTTCTGTTTGTTTCTTTTTTCTTTCTGGTTTTATGACAGCGTCTCCCTGTAGTCCCAGCTGACCTGGAACTCACTATGTAAACTAGGCTGGCCTCGGTCTCAGAGGTCCCCCTGCCTCTACCTCCCAAGTGCTGGGGTTAAGGGTGTGCACCACTATGCCCAGCTGAAGTCTTAAAAGTCTGGTTTAAAATGGAAGACGGACTTTCAATATACCTCTTTGAGGTTAATTTCATGACATCTGCAACACTGATGGAAACCTACGTTATTCATCAATAATTATAACTGTACACACTAAAATTGAAAAAGGTCCAGTATTTGTCAGGGTTCACTTGGCACATAAAATTCACCGTCACATTTTATGCAAAGGTTAAAATATCTAACAGCTTCAAAAATTAGTCTGAAATTATTTTTCTTAAATATGTCATTGTATTTATAATAAAGACTTTATAAATTACGCAGGGTAGTCTAAGGCAAACTTGGAGGACAATAAAAAATAACCAAGACTATGTATCTAATAGTAGATAAACTATTGTCACAAATTGTTTCATTTAGATACTTTTTTCAGATAGGCAAGGATTTGTTTTGTTTAGCCTTCGGTTTTGGATTCCTACCCTTCTAGTGGCCCTCACTCACACTGTAATTTAGGAGATACAACGTGTGGGTGCCTATGTGTCTTCGACTCTGAAAGTCACAAAGGCCACGTAGATAGAAAAATTCAAAGCAGCAGTTCAAGGGCATCTTTAAGCTGGCGCCGTGCCCGCAGCCGCGCTCCTGGGTACGGCAACGCCCGCTGGCAACCGGGGCGCCGGGCGCGGGGCGCAGGCAGGGCGATCTCCACTCGGCGATCCGGCCCTGGCCCGCCCCTTCCCGGCACTATGGAAACCGCATTTTCCTACGCCAGCACGTCCTCCTCCTCTCTCCCATTACATCCAGAACAGCCGGCTTACACTTCCCAGGAACCTGACAAGTGAATGGCGCTGATGACGCCCCGGAAAGAACCCACGGCCGGGGGAAGGGGGGGCGCGCCCTGGCGGGGGGGCGGGTTCCGGGGAACCTCGCCCACGCCCCTCGCCCCTCACTCTACTCCCTGCCTGTTAAGGGCACGGAGCTGCCATCGATCGGGAGCTCGCGAGCCACGAATGTGATGCTCGTAAACAAGCTGGGCCGCGCGCCCGCCACCCCCGCACCGGGCACCGCCCAGCGCAGAAGAGACGCCCCCGGTTACTCGGGCACACGACGGGCGGCCAGGTGCACCGTTCCTGCTGGTCCGGGACCCGTGGCGAGGGGCCACGGGGCTCGAGAGAGCTGAGGACTCCGGGTCCCCGGATCTCCCCCGCCCCTGCCATCCCCTCCCAGCGCCCCTCTGCGGCGGAAGCTCAGAGCGCAATTAATGCAGAGAAAGGCGGGAGGGAAGGGCCCGGCGCGCCGCACCCGCCCTCCTCTGAGCCCCCTTTCCCGCCCTGGGTGGCATCGCCTCCGCGCGCATCCTCAACCAGCCTCTGATTAATGAGCCCCGGCCCGGCCCCCACCACGCCCGGCCCGGGCCTCGGCTGTAGGGGGAGGGGACGGCGGGAAACGCGGCCCCGGAGAAAAGGGGGCGTGGCGGAGTGCTCGGCCCGCCTCCCCAGAGCCTCGTGCCCATTGGCCACAAGCCCCGTCCGTCGGGGGGCGCGGCGCCAATGCAGGGCTGCGGGGCGGGGCGGGCCGCGTCGTGTGTGCCTGCGTAACGCCGAGTCACATGTTGTTTTGCTCTTCTTAGTTCAGTCACTCGGTGCGCGATGTGTTACTCACTGTGCGGCGGGGACCGCGATGAGCCCAGGTCGCCGTTGGTAGCAGCAGCAACAGCAGCAGCAGCAGCAGCAGCAGCAGCAGCAGCCCCGGCGGCGGCGGCGCGCGCCCCGAGTGTCCGGACGCACCCCGGCTTCACGGAGCTCAGCACGGCGGCGGCAGCAGCAGCGGGCCGGCCGCGCGCGTCCTAGGCTCGGCCCCGCGGCTCGGGGACCCCGACTCTCGGCCCAGCCAGCGAGTCCCCCGGCGCC